CCGTCAGTAGAGTTCCTGTAAGTAGTTTCAATTGAGTAAAAATAAATATTTCTACTTATTTTCAATAAGATCACAAACAGTATGCTAATGTGATAGCATGTCCTTCTGTAACTTTATGCGTGTAATCAGTTAATAATTGATAAATAACACGCATAAAGTAACTACCTGACAATACGGACTAACAACTGAAAACAAAACACATATTGTTCTGTCTTGTTTACACACTTTAAGATCGCTAATTAATATAATGTTGAAGTTTAAGTATGCTTGTAGGCTTTTCGTACCTGTGTAAGGGATTATTGATACCGAGAGAGAGTGTGAGGGATCTCTCTCATGCTACCAAAAAAAGTAAGGGAAACGGTTAATGGGTCGGTCGTTTACCGATAGAGAGATGGTGAATGGTTTTTATTTTCTCTTTTCAGTGAAACCCCGTTGGTTTAAATAAGTTTACCAGACCTGAGCAAACTATTTACTTCGTACTAACACTACATTAATATTAAACTAAGAATAAAACTTATGAACACAGAGTTTAATACATTTAGTTACATCAATTAGACGTCACAAAGGTTTATATGTTAAAAGCAAAAGAAACAATACAAATAAGACATAGCCTGTCTATCTTATTCAAGAAAACATCTATACTAATCTATACTAATAGTTTCGCTGTCTGTCTATCTATCTATCTGTGTATCTATGTATCTATCTGAAAAGAACACTATAGAGATAACACAAGCAAAATAAAAACTTTCATAGTAAAACGAAAACGAAACACGACGTCACATGGAGCATATAGTAGAAACTAGTATCAAGCCGGAGAGTGCACATAGTAATATGACGTCATTGATTCTCGAGTAAACATTGAATTAAAAAAAATTGGAATCAGATTTGTCACATAAACTGCTGAAAGGAAACCAGAACGTATACGTTCTGGTCGTAAAAATGTTTCTGTGAGTTAGGCATATGAAGAAACGCCTACTTAACTTTTCTTTTCCTAACGTGAACCAGGTACGAATTAGAGCTGGTGGACTCATGTAAGACCTTTGAACTCAAGCCAAAATCCAAACCTGAATCTTTCAAGTTACCAGTCGTGTTCACTATTGCCGGCCACGACGTTCAATTACAATACTCGTACATGAAGTAAAACGGAGTCTTCTTAAAGAATAAAAAAAGCAGGGATGTCTTAGGGGGTTACAAAATCAACAGCAGAGAACCGGACAAAAAGGGAAATTATTGTTGAGGAACTATAATACTCAAGAACTAAAGAGGGTTAAGTAAGTAGGTACTTGATGGAAAAGGGCGTATTTAATTCAATGTTAGAAATTTGAACTGAAATAAAAGGTAGGGCCTACATACTAGCAAAATGCAACTTTTGAAAATGTATGTATTTAGTTTTAAAACAAACACAATATAACGTAGAGGAATTTATCCTTGTGTAGAACACGTTAAACATGACTCGAGTTAATCTTACAAAAAGTTAATAGCAAGAGATGTACACACATACTAAATTCAAATTTAAGAGTATGTAGGAGTGTTTTAAGTGGATGTTGATGATGGTAACACGATGAGTATAGCAAACAATACTTATGGTAGATTGCTGATAAACACACACACATATATACACGCACACACGCTCGCATGCACTCTCGCACACACACAAATAATATGTGTTATGCATGTCTACTTCTATGATTTCGAATGTTTTTCAATTTGCAATTATTAGAAAATACCTATTCTCCGGCGAGAGCGATTATGATACTAGTTTATTGATAGGCAATGACAATTAATAACAGGGAGAGATAATTTAATCGCCGGAAAATGGCCACGGATTCAATTATGTAGTTTATTGTCCTGTAAATGACCATCATCTATTAACGCAAAATAAAGCAACATATTTATATATATCACAATTATAAGCTAGTTAGCGTTTTATAAATCAGATACCTAACATAAAAGATAACACAAATAATCGCATTACTCTATACTGTATGTATGATACATACTCTCTTTAAAAAACACCCGATGTTTTTCATAACATTCTACGTATCGTATGGATATCTAACGGTCAACTGTCGTTTTTATTTCCAGCCCAATGCATGGTGTATTTTCAGCCTAGCAAGGGTCATTGCTATAAACCTACGACTGAACGAAGTGTATGTCACCCTTTAACATTATGTATGTTGTGATAGTTTACATGATGGGTTTTTTGACTTGATATATTACAAGTACCAAAAAGCCATTTTCAGTTTGAGACGCTTTTTGTATCTTTAACATCACACAACAATCTACAATAATTAAAAACCCAACCACACTTCACACACTCAACTGCGTACTCGTTAACAAAACAAAAAGTTTTTAGTCCACTTTGCCTAGTTTTACCTTGACCCTATTTCCCTACTTATGTTAAAAACAATAACGGAGAGGGGGCGGTACTTAACCCACTAAAACTACGTTACACTCTAGCCTGTACATTGGGTGGCGCTATTAAGTGGGTCAACTGTAAATAAACTATAACAAATTGTGTTTAGTAAGTGAACTTAAAAAACTACGTTTGGAGCAATTATTTAACAGATAAGTTAATGTGCCAACCAAAACAAAGTGCAGTGAAATGACGCAGGGTTGATCTCCTCTACATGTTCTAGTATATTCTTATAAAACAGTAGGGGGAGGGATAGCTACAAATAAAAACATGATTTATTGGACATACATTTCTACATACTGGCATTTAAATTGTGTTTAATTGTGTTTATTTAGTACACATTTTCGCGTAATCGTGAGTCAAATTGAGAGTACTTACACACACATAATACTTCTATTTATTAAAGACTTAGATATAAGATACATACACGTTTTATCCTATTTACTTTGACTGCACACAGGCGCACACACCTTGTATCTTGTTGACGCATTGAGGAGGATTGGTAAGGCTGCTGGATGAAAGGTTTGCGTCCGGTTTTAATATATTGTAGGCTGTTCGTTACGTTTAGCTGTCGGCCTTGTGTTAGCCGTGTACTGGGTTAGTTGCCGTGGTAGGTTAATTTAGGGTTGCGTAGAGACTATAATCAATTTTAGATTAAAAAGCTTTGGTCACTAAAAATGTAAAAAAAATCTCATACGCGACCAAAGCTTTTATTGTTTGTTCATTTTCTTATTTTCATTGCATTTAAAAGCTTGTTTTTTATAAGGTTATTATATTTCTTTTATTCACCCTTTGTCGTAATTCGTTCTAAATGAACAACTACGAAATGTTGCTTTAAAATTTTATTAGGAAATACACACAATAGAGAAGACTATTTGAATACAGCTAAATACAAAATAATATAAACATAAATGTTAGAAAATTAATACAGTACATCCAACACAAACAAAGATTCTACTTTACCAAAATTTTATTTAACCATGCATGTAGTCAGTAGTGTGTCAAAATGTCAAGTTTGTATTGTCCTTTATGCGCATGACATGTTTAATTTAAATAAAATATTGTATAGGTCTGTACACTCAGAGTTCAATACATACGGATATAAACAATAAACAATAAACAATAAACAGATTTTCTTTTTAACAAGTAAAATATAACTTTTCTCTTTGTATAAAGTAGAGGGGATTTTATTGCCTTTATAATACGTTAGATTTTTCCTTCTCTGTCGAGCTTCCACTTTAAAAAAAAGTTGATAAATAATTAAAAATGGTGTCTTATAACAATGTACAAAAGAAGATTATTTTCACGATTAGTTTTTAAAGAAGACTTTATAGCCCTAAAAATGCATGTAACTTGTGAATATGGTGTTTTGCCCAAATATCAGGCAACATTGACACAAAATTGTCTGACCCTGCTATAGGACTATGCTACTTGTTATAGTAATAATACGACATTCATTGTTAATTTTATTTATATGATTAGTACCAGTTATTTTTAATTGTGTTGTAATTCATGTTTTTCAAAATGCTTTTTAAAAGTTGCATATACTTAATAGATGTTTATTTTAAGACACAACACATACATGTAATTAATTATTTAATGATTTTTTTATCATAGCGCACACTGTCCTCCTTCAGAACTATTTGAATCTATGCCAAGTCTGTTTACATATCACACTCTTGAAGGTGTGAAATATCTTCATGATAAAAACTTCGTTCATTTGTATGTAATGCGTTCAAAACGCCGAAACTCTAGTTTTAAAAAATGCAGGGCATGTTGTTTAAAAAATTGAGTTTCAAAAACACATATTATTACGTAAATGTAGCCCTTGTGATAATATTTTTTAATGTGAGAGAATGAGACTAGAACATAAACCAATAACAATACTAAAATAAAAATACAGAATTAGTCTTGAAAGTCAAATGTTTTCACGTACTTTTATTAAAGTAGGTGTGTTCTTAATAAAATGAAAGATTATTTATTATGTTGTTTTTGTGTGTTTCCTTCAGGGATTACTTTAATTGTTTAATGAAAAAACAAGTGCTGAATCTGATAATGACACAATTAAAAAATTACTTGAAACACTCAGCTTAAAAAGAAACGAAGTGTTATAACTGGGTTCTAATGTGTCCCACAACTATGCAGTGAGAGGGTTGAAGTACTTTATCCAATATTTTATTCAGATACCTCTACTATTTTATAATATCTTGCCATTCAGTAGTTCATCTTGAAACACGACGACATGGACGAATATAAATGATTGAACAGGACGACCATGTTTACTGTTTCTATTTTTTGCACTATAATATATACATCGGACGACTTGAACAAACGATAACGGGACTGGACCACATTACAACCTCACCTAAACACAACAATAACAAGACTACCTGAAGCTTCTTCCCCGGCAACAACGAACCTACACTAAAACGTCACTTTCTTGCGTACCGCATCACACTTTCACTCGTTCAATATTATATCTTCGCACCAGCATTTATGCGTACCAATTTGCCTAGTGAAACATATAACACAACACAAAGCAATTAAAAAAAAATAAAGCATCAATCTTTAGTGCCCTCCTGCAGCGCATTTTAATTGCTGTTACACGTGTAAAATAAAATTATGTAACCAATTCAACTGCACATGAATTTTCTACAACAATAAAAGGATCGTCGTGTAGCAGCCAATAGGCTGTCGGTCTCAGTCTAGCTTCTTGTTGAAAAATCCTGTCCAAAAATGCTTTTAAAAGATCTGAAGCTGATGCAGGAAGTTGGAATAGCAGGGGATCTCGGTTCTTTATTCTGAACGCAATCTGTACATCAAGCAATGAATTGTTTGGTGGTTTGCCCGTCAACATTTCTACAACAGTGCAGCCTACACTCCTGTAAAGTGATATAAAAATGAATAGAATCAAATGTATGCATGTTAAATATTAGTTGATGAACGTCTTCAAATAAATGTTTTTCCAAAATAATTGCATAGGAGTTAACGAAGTAAAAAGCTTTTCTTTTAATACTAAATTCACAAGCTTATGCGCTGAAAGCTTGATACAAAAAATAGTATCAATACAAATTAAATGTTCTATTTAGTCCATGTAAGTGGAGATTTACAGGCGTTGTACATACGTTATTCAAATGGAAGAAACTACATTCATTGTTAGTTAAGTTAGTTTTTAACTAGGCCAAGGTGATCGAGTTTCTACCTACAGTCTGACAATGATTCAGTGATAAAATAAACTGTTAAATCACTTAAAAAAAATAGTCCTACATAGAATCTCTTAAAATTGGAACGGGATAGACATGAATTGAGTGTCTGTCCAGGGAACTTAGTATAGAGTGAAGCTGGAGGGGTTGCATTCCTACGAGTTGCATGTCGAGGAATTATTGGCTGTAAACATTTGAAAACAATGTTTCTTGAAGATACGTTTTAACACAATTTATGGTATTTCAAAGGTTTTATAATAATTATTTAAAAACTAAACAATATACTGTCAGCTACCAAATATCTGCTCGGCTGGTATATTTTAAAATCTTTCCGGCTGTGTTGATCAATTCGGGAGCCATGTATCGTATTGTTCCAGTATCTGCTTTTATTCCATTTTCATCAACAATTTCAGAGAGCCCGAAGTCAGTAATCTTAATATTTCTGTCGTCTTGCATTAGAATGTTGTTACCTATGGGATTTAGAATATAAGAACCTGATATTAAACCAGATTACACTAGGTAACACCTTTATATAAAAAAGAGGTAATTAATCAAATGATTATACTATTATTTTGAAATGTATTAAAAATAATGCGATTTTTGTTGAAGGATTTTCAATGATAATCAATAATTTGAACGCTTATCATATGCCTACCTTTTATGTCTCTATGTAAAATATTTTTATGGTGCAGGTATTCCACACCCTCCAAAATTTGAATGGTGAAATGACGTGTCAATGTCTCATCTAAACTTCCTCGTTTCGATATGAATGACGTAAGAGTACCCTAGATACAATTTTAACAGTTAATAAAAATGAAAACATTAGAAACTACTTAGGGAAATAATACATTTAAAGTTATTAACAAGTGAGTTACATGTTTTAGGTACTCCATGAAGATAAAAAGTTCATCATCTTTAATTTGAAAACCGTGAAATTGAACTATTCTGTTATGTTTTGTCTTCAAAAGAATCCTCGCTTCTTGCTTGCACGTTTCCTGAAAAATGAAATACATTTGTACGACACACAATGTTTTTAGAACACATGATATATTTACTTTTATTGCTTAGACATTTCAGAAATAAACATTATCTATAAAATTGCTAAAAACGTTTGTCTAATCTAAGATAAAAAAAAAAGTATAATGTAAGTACCTTTTTCGCGATCTTCTAACCCACACAGATTGGGCATATCAGTAGCAAATGTATGGGGGGTCTCAGGTGGGCGGAGGGCTTATAACTAGCCCAATGGACCTCTCACACAAACACACACACACACACACACATATATATATATATATATATATATATATATATATATATATATATATATATATATATATATATATATATATACATATATATATATATATATATACATATACATATATATATATATGTGTGTATACATATATATATATATATATATATATATATATATATATATATATATATATATATATATGGGCAGATGAATGTGAGTCTGAGACTTTCATTATAATTGACTTCTTACCATATTTTCCTTATTTTGTATTTTAATTATTTTTGCAGCAAATTTGTGTTCTTCTGGATGTTTTACATCAATAACAGGATGTACTCTACCAAAAGCACCTGTCCCTAATATAGTTGATCTGAGCTTGATTTCCTTAGGAAACTCGTCAGAGAGAACCTGATCTACAATTATCAGAATAACGCAAACTTAAATCAAATGTATTGGCATGACAAACCGCTTTAACAAAATGTAACATTTCCCAATACAATTTGATTCATATGATTATATATTACTTAATTACTTAATCCTCGTCACCCCCATATGATTATACCTTACACAGTTAAAATGTTACTAACAAGATAAATACAATAAGTTATACAATGAGATCGTTTGAAATTAGTCGAAACCAGGGGTCTCTAAACTACCGCCCTCGAGCCAGATGCGGCCCGGGTGTCCCCTCATCCGTTCCGCGGGGATCTTTTTGACTATGAAAAAAAAATATTTGTTTGAGGTGGCTGAAGAATTTGATGGAAATACAATTGCCCAACGTGTTACAGGCATGGGTGAAAATATTGTGACTCAATCAGCGAAAAATGGAAGTTTCGAAATTTTTCAATTACAACGGATGAGTCGCTGGACAGCTATTCCATTTCTTAACTGCTTGTGTTCATTAGAGGTGTGGATGAAGACATAAACATATCACACGAGATGGCTTACCTAACTAACATGTATGGCACTGTTACCGAAGAGGATATATTAAAAAAATACTGAATATAAACTGTACTGGACTAACCTAAGTTACCTGACCGTTGATGTGGGAAAGTATATGAGTGGCATAAACAAGTATTGGTTGGACAAGCGAATGAGAGAAACATTCTATGTGCATGGTTCCTGTATTATTCACAAGCAAGCTTTGTGTGCTATATATATGTGGACATTAGCAATGTACTTAATCCTGTGGATGATGCATTTAGTAAGGTCACATGTGCTCAACAATAGCTAGTTCAAAGACAAGTTAAAGGATGCAGACACACCACCTTAAGATTTACCATATCACACAGCAGTAAGATGACTAACTTGTATTTAAGTTAGGAAAGGAAATAGATTACTTCCTGGAAAGTAAAGGCAAGCCACAGCCATTAATGTTTGATGAAGAGTGGGTATAGACATTAGCATTTGCTGCAGACATAACTCGTCACTTAGATTTCCTTAACCTTAAACCACAAGAGAGGGAAATCTAGTTTTTGATCTAAACATCTACCTAATGACCTTCAAATCCATACGCGTCATGGTTTTGGAACAAGTACAGGCCAACAATTAGACGCACTTTCAGTAGCTAAAGCAACAGCTGAGTCACCCGAGTCAATGCGTGTGAGATCATCAAAGACCTCCAGCGAGTATCAGTAGCGGTTTTCCGACTGGGATTCAAAGTCAGAAGAAGTGAGACGGTTTCAAAACTCACTTGAAGCAAATGTGACAAGTTGCCAGATGAACTATAGTTGGAGCTCCTTAGAGACGAGTTTAAAGAAGAGCGGGTGGATTTGTATAGGTTTTTTATAATACGTTTTTGCCTAAGGAAGATTTTCCTAATATTAAAGCTTGTGCATTAAAGTACATTTCGAATTTTGGAACAATTTACGCTTGTGAACAGACACTTTCAAGAATGAAATATTTGAAGAACAATTTGAGTACAAACTTGGACCTCGAGTGTGTTGTTGGCCAGCGACAGTGTTTCTTTTAGACGTTTTTCTCCCGGAGATACGGGGTGGGGGACACTTATAATTTGTATATATTTCAATGTAAATTATTTTTTCGTTGGGAGTGGGGCGGTAGACCTACTTCGCGGGGGGGGGGAGTCCATAGCCAAATAAAAATTGATAAAGCTACGTTTATGTGTGGGTCGTTTTCTGTAAAAAAACCAATACGTCTTTTTGTATGTACGCCCTGATGCCTGTCAATCAAATTTACTTGGCTAATAATATGAGATTGTACAAGATCTGTGCTTTTAGATTCATTGTGTGTGTTACTTGAATTATGTTATGCCCGTTCATTTAAAAAAAAACATACGCTATACTTTTATTATTCTGTTATCTCATTTCTAACCTGTTTTAGATGGCAATATTCCTGTTGTACGTCCAGCTGTCCATAGTATCGAATGTACGTTAGCAGAAAGATCCACATCATGTCTGTTTATTAAAGCTTTTAACATGTCATTTAATTCTTCGTCTGTGATGATTTTCTCACTTCCCTCTTTATTTCTACTTAGTTCTCTAAAACATTGTGTCGTAAATATTTGTTCATCAGGATCTTCATGTGTTAGTATTTCTTTTAGGTGTGGATACAGTGGAAGTACCTGCCAAATTTTTATGAACATAATTTATAAAACGATTTTATGTGTTCTCTTACTGAAACAAACAATACATACACCAGTATTATTAAATTAAAACAACGATTAGCTAAGAATATGCGTATGACAAAACACATGGAAGTATGAAAGGACTATATAACTTAGCCAAAATTAGAATCGAACAATTATGATAACCTTGTTCAGCACATCCTCATTTCGTTCCAGGATTTTAGCCAGTCCTTGAAGGAGCTCAGATCGTGAATATTCTCCTGGATCATTTTCAATCCCTGAAATTTTTTGAATGAAAATTTCCTCTAGACGATGTTTAAAATTCTCTGTAATATATATTAAATACATATGTCAAACGATTCAAATTAATTCTAAGATGATAATAATTTGCTGACGAAATAAATAACTATGGAAAAAAGTATTATTATACGTTATGCAATTATAGTGGCCTAATCATAACGAACTTATTAATTCTAAATTCTAAATTGTATTTACATAGTCTTTTCATAATTAAAATGCACGTATTATAGTTTACGTGTACACAAGTGTGTTGTTGTTATTCTTAATTTAACTTATATTTACATGATGTTATGCTTGTTCATTCGGTAAGGGTGAAAAGTTTAAACATTGACTGGTCTTTTGTATACGCAAATTGAAATAAACTGCGTTATAATAATAAAACGCATAAATAATATACTTTTAGCATTAATTATATAGTAAAAGCACAAATTTTAGTTGCTCAAAAAAGTAAGATATTTATATATTAAAATAAGACTTCTTGACAACGTGATTGACATGAATAATTTATTCATGCTTTATCTTTAAAGTTTTTTTTACTACTCTAATATATAAAAAAAATTAAATTTCGCAAATTTTAGTTGATCAAAAAGGCAACACTGTGTAAAACAATAAAAGGGGTAGATAGTTGCAGTTGTTATAATGTAGTATCTTAAAGTTCTAAAATTGACTTTCTGTCACTGTTTAACTGTTTTACTATTTTTCTTTTCATTGCGCTTCATCTAACGTCCATTTTGTTTTTCAACTTAAAGGTTTATTATTAAATTAGAAAATGTTTTTAATTAAATTTATACATAATTATAGAATTTTACAGATAATTCGTAACAATTTTTTTCTTAAAAGGAAAATCTTTCTTGTTATATTTTATGCGTTTACCAAAATAGAACTGCTTTTGATAGTAAGTGAAAAGTTTATTTAACATAATATATTTATTTTGTAACTGAAGTAGTTTAATTTCAGTTCTTATTTTTTACTTCGGATACGATATATAAAATGCAACGTTATCTACGATGGGCATAATATATACATACTCTTTTTTGCAGATTTATTTAAAGAAATTGAATTGATACTATTTCGTAAAATATTAAGCTTTTGACATAATATAATAAAAACATGCTTAAATAATTACTAAATGCCCCAGTATCTATAGGAGAATCCTCTTGTATATTTAACAGTAAAAGTACTGTATCCATAGATATGTCTTTTTCTTTGAAATCCATGTTTTTAATAACCTGAAGAAAATATATCTGTATTAGATTTCTGAAGGCATGTTAGAATGTATAGAATGTTTATTATATTCTATTTTTGAAAGTGCGATATTTCAATTGAATGACATAATTCGTTGTTTTATTTCAGTTAGTCGAAAAAAATACCGGCTGATTTAGAGGATATAGTGAAGTTAATTCATATACTAAGATAGTAAGAGTGTGGCTAGCTTGGGAGCCGGACGTTTTCCCGAAAGACACTTGCCCGAATGCGACAAATGCCCGAATGGACACTTGCCCGAATGCGACAAATGCTCGAATGCCACTTGCCCGAATCCGTTTGCCCGAAAAATGTTAATATTGGAAAATAAATAATATTACCTAATAGACATTCTAAATCAATTCAAGTTTGAAATTTTGATAATAAACACAATTCTATGCATAAAAACAAAGTTATTTATTTTTTTTAAATTCAGCTTTTATTTTTTGTGTAACCTGAGAAGTTGCTGTAAAAAATGTTTTTTCTTTAATAAATATAAGGTGATGTTGGCGGCGGTGTCGTTACGTTCTTTTGATGTCAGTTTTGAACACCTTTGTTTAGCCGATGTGTTCACGTGGCTATACAGCGCTTGTGATACGGTGTTGTCGGCACGGCAATATTGAACAGAGGCGCGTTTGTTTGATTTATTTGTTTTGTTTAACATGTGTGGTAATCATTTCACAATGGAACGAGGCGCGGTCTAGCCGGCGAATTTAAAAACTAAAGGTAGTCAATTATGTCTTATCTCCATTTAATGCACCCTGTTTAGACATTTTGTTGAAGCGATTACTTAATAAAGAAAGCAAAATTCATTTTAAAATCCTGAGATAAACGAAAATGGTATTTTTATTTCGTGTTGTTTTATAGATAGGAAAAAATTATATTTTTACACTTTTCATATAGCAAATACAAATTAATTAAGAAGGTCTGCGTGGTAATATATAACATTATTTTATTCTTTTCTTTTTGTTAAGATATTTATTGTTTACCAAAATTTCAAATTTAAATTGATTGCAAATGATTATTTGGTTATATATAATTCAATATTTTTCGGGCAAACGGCCTTCGGGCAAATGGCATTCGGGCATTTGTCGCATTCGGGCAAGTGTATTCGGGCATTTGTCGCATTCGGGCAAGTGTCCATTCGGGCGTTTGTCCCATTCGGGCAAGTGTCCATTCGGGCATTTGTCGCATTCGGGCAAGTGTTCATTCGGGCGTTTGTCGCATTCGGGCAAGTGTCTACTCGGGAAATCGGCCTTCGGGCAAACGGCATTCGGGCAAGTGTCTTTCGGGAATTTGTCGTAGACCCGGCTAGCTCTCCCTACACATGTAGCATATACCAAGCAGAGCAGAACTTGGAGTAATAAGGGACGTTGTAAAGAAAGATACTGAGTTCAAGTCATTATATTTTTTTATAATTTTAATATTGCTATTTTTTGGCGATCTTTGTTTTAAAAACCAATATTCTAGAGAAAAAAAATAAAACATTTTGATTAATATATTGCAGTATAACTCTTTAACATCATGTATACATTTAATGTACATTTAAACTACATACAGCTTTTAGACGCATATAGTACATCGTAAACACAAAAGTGTTTCTTTTTTTACAATTATGTCTTTATTTTCTTTTAAAAAATATTAATTATAATTTCTTAAAACATATTCTCAATTGTCAAAAAAATAATCTTCTTCATTACAAAGATTTCTATCTTTATAGTTACGAGATTTGCATATTTGTTATTGGTTATTTATTTATTCGGTCCATTGTATACGTAAATAATACCGTATATATTTTGTCTGTACAAAAATTTAAAATTTAAATTTTGTATATCTCAACATTTTGCGATGTAAAACGATGTTGTACAAACACATTTAATATGCGAACATTTATTAGAATATTTACTTACATTGTATGTGTTGTGTACAGAGAAAAATTTCTCCGCGCCCTTTCCTCTGACAATGTTAAGTAAAATGGAAACAACTTGATAAATAATCCATTTATATTGGGAGTTCTGTAATTTTAAAAATTGACATTCAATTAATTGTTTGCCAACACAGCTAATGTTTAGTAGAAATTTTCACGTATATTGAGTCGGCAGATCATGGTTTGCTATAAGAAACCGATTAGTACATTAAATTATTGTAGGTGACATAAAATAAAGAGTCTAGAATACTGTTAGCCATCATCGGTATACCAGCCATCTACCTCTATACTACTAAAACTCAAGTTTGTTTACATGTTTGAATATATTTTTTTTTAGTTTGTCTGATTAAATACTGGAGAGAATCTGCTCTATGTGGAGAGCTGTTAAATAGTATGTAGGTATAGAACAATTTTTGTTTTCAGACAGACAGTTAATCACAAATTTATGTAAAGACGTTAATTAATTTACTGATTTATTCATAGGTAGATTAACCACATTAATTTTAAAAGTTAAAAACATTGACTTTTCTTTGTGGGAATATTGACGTCACATGATTTGTTTACTTTTTAGTACAATAAATGGCGGCTTCTATCGAAGAAGATTATGTTCCCATTCCAATGTTTAACGCGTTCTAAAGCTAATTTTCTGTCGGCCATAACTTTTACAAAACGACCGTTTGCTGTATGTATTACGTTCCAACACTTTTATCTCAAATTTCAACTGTCTTTTTCATTTAGTTATACAATACATTTCTCTAGCTCTACAATCTGTCCAAAATTCTAGGTCAAACCAAAGATTTATTAGTTAAAAATACAATCTATTTTGAAATCATAATTTTTTTTTGAGTTTCTTTATTAAACTATTTTAGTCCTTAAATACTTCATATAAATCATAGTGATTTATCTATCTAGATCTAGAATAGGTCTAATCTAGATCTACCGAGAGCTATGCAAAAACTAGACTTAAACAAACCAGTCGTAGAATAATAATATAGATAATTATATCTAGATTTAGATAATAATGTGTTTCAATTTACTAAACTATTTCAGACCTTTATTATTTTATACAATCTTTTTATGTTTACCTATGGAATTGGCTAATTTAAGATAAAATTTAATTTGATTTAACACAGAATTTAATTTGAAAGTTACTAGACTTAGATCTAGATCTAGAGATAGGTCCTATGCGCGTAAATCAAGTCGCATAAGGAGACTCGACGTATTATTATATAGCACAAAAAACATCAGTGACGTCAACAGTCTAGATAGCTAAGTTGTTAGTGTAATAGATTTTCATTCGGGCGGCACGGGTTCTAGACACATCACGTCAATAAAAAATGTAATTTGTTTTTTTAGATAAAAATGATAAAGTTGCCTATCTGAACTTGGCGGGATACACGGCAGGTGAAATAAAGTTCATCTGTTTCTTTGTCCTAAGCACTTGAATGGATATTGTGGTCAGAGACATGCTAGGCCGGAATCGTTTTTTTAAACGATAAAAAGATAATGTCTGAGACTTGGCGAGACACTGAAGTAGAGTTGAGTAATTCACCTGTAAAATCAGTATGTGAAGGGATAGTGTGTTCAAACCTATGCTCAGCCTAAATCGGTGTTTTTAAAAGATAAAAAACGTCTTTTTGAATGTGGGGTCTGTGACGGTAAACCCGTTTAGGCCTAGCTTCACGTTTTTCTTCCACCACCCTCTACCTGCTCTATTACTCCCCCCCTCTACATCCAAGTACATTTTATCTTTCAAAATTTGAAAAAAATAGCCCAGCTGGTGGTGTCGCACGCGGCGTTGGGGCCGTCGGCCCGATCTCCACGTGTTTTTTGGATTTGGTTTTACTTTAATTCTTATTTTCACTTAACCAGTTTTGATGTGCATATTTGATTATCATTGTAGACATTTCACTTACCTACTGTACTACTTTTATCCTGCACGTGTATCAGCCACGGAGCAGTAGATAATAATATTGTATACTGCATCATTCTATTTTACCACAGGCCGTAAACTGCGTGCATTCAGTTGACCCGTAGTCATCGGACCTGATATTTTATTTTTTTCACTGGCCGTAAACCCTTGCCAGAGACAAGACGTCATCGGACCAGGTGAGAAATTATTATTCTACTAAGGCTGTAAACTTTGGGCATTGAATTGACCCTTAGTCATCAGACCATGGTGAAAGTACGTCTAGTTATACTATACTAGAGTTTATATTCCCTGTAGAGAAGCGGCGCAGACCCTTTTACCTGTTAAATACAATCATTTTTACAGATTTTACTGATTATTATTATTATACGGTACCGAATATTTATCTATTACCGTTAACAGGGTCTGGTTATTTTGTGATAATTAGTGACAGACATGATGTCATTTAGGGATGACCCTCGAAACCCACAGTTATCCAACTACATAACGGGTAGTCTAGTATACTACTAAAACTCAAGTTGTTTACATGTTTATTTTTTTGTTTGTTTTTTTGGTTTGTCTGATTGGCTACTGTAGAGAATCTGCTATATGAGGAGAGCTGTAAAATAGTATGTAGGTAGAGAACAATTTTGTGTACAGATTGTTAATCACAAATTTATTTAAAGACGTTAATTAATTTATTGATTTATTCATAGGTAGATTAGCCACGTTCGTTTTAAAATTTTCAACAATGAATTTACTTTGACTGAATAGTGACGTCACATGATTTGTTTACTTTTTAGAACAATAAAATGGCGGCTTCCATCATAGACTTTGTGTCCCATTCAAAAGTTTAACACGTTCTAAAGCTAATTTTCTGTCGGCTATAAATTTAACAATACGTCCGTTTGCTGTTTTTATTACTTTCAACACTCATATAAATTTTTAACTGTCTTTTTCATTTAGTTTTTCAATAAATTTCTCTAGCTCTACAATATGTCCAAGAAAGTCATATATTTATTTATAGATCTAAATATCAGATGGCCAAGTAAGTTATTTATATATATCTAAATCTAGAATCTAGGTCAAACCAAAGATTAATTAGATACAAACCAAAGATTAATTAGATAAAAATACAA